ATGTACAAATTTCAGAACAAAAAGTTCAAATTGATAAATAAATAAATAAATATACTGCAATTGACCTTAAATAACTGGGCTAACAGTACTCAACATCCCACTTTGAAATTTGGCAGGGATATACAATTTCATAAAAACTTCAATGGCCAATTTTCATAAACAAGGCCCATTTAAAATTCAGAACAAAATCAAGTTTAAAAACAAAGAACAAAATCAAAAATGTTTGGTGTAAATACAATAAAATAACACTTTATAATCATAAGAATGGGTGAGCCACTTGCTCAACTTACCACAGGACATTTGGCTCAAATTACCCCACACTCTACCATTTGAACAAACTTGTATTATCCAGCAGTTTAGAGAACATCATGCTCATAATATAACTTCCTAAAGCACAAAGATATGACATTTTTCAGATTTGTCTTTAATTGTTCAGACACAAGAAGCATGAGTCCTTGAATATAAAAAATCACTTTGAACAGCAAAAACGTATTTATAGAGAAAAATGATCCAGTGTTACATAACTGTGCCTTGCAAAAGTTTGTGAATCTCTAGGATACGTTGTTAATTTGAAGGTGAAATTAGAATCCATCTGTTAAGAGGTGTTTTCATTCTGTGGAATAATTATCAAGGTGTCAATGCTTTCCCTGCTTTAGAACAGGGATCTTTCAAAGTCTGATCATGTTTGTGTAAGTAAATCATGGCACAAACAAAGATCTCCGTGGACCTCAGGCACCCCTGCATGTAACAGTCCGCAAGGAACTCAGGGTAACCTCTAAGCAACTAAAGGCCTTTCTCACATTGGCTAATGTTAATGTTCATGAGTCCACCATCAGGAGAACACTGAACAACAATGGTGTGCATGGCAGAGTTGCAAGGAGAAAGCCACTGCTCTCCAAAAAGAAAATTGCTGCCCATCTGCATTTTCCCCACCGCATTCAAGCAGGCTCGGGTAACCCCACTGCTCACAAAACCTACATTAAACACTTCACTTACAGATAGCTACAGACCTGTCTCTCCTTCCATTCATAGCGAAAACACTTGAATGAGTCGTTTTCAACCAGGTATCGTCATTTCTTTGACAGAATAACCAACTGGACGCTAACCAATCAGGTTTCAGAAGTGGACATTCAACTGAGACTGCGCTACTCTCAGTCACTGAAGCCTTGCGGATTGCAAAAGCTGATTCCAAATCATCAGTTCTCATTCTGCTGGATCTATCTGCTGCTTTTGACACTGTGAATCATCAGATCCTCCTGTCCAACCTCGCATCATTGGGCATCACAGGGATTCCACTTCGCTAGTTCGCTGGTATCTCACTGGTAAGTCTTTCAAGGTAACCTGGGGAGGGGAGGTTTCCAAAGCACATCAACTGGTCACTGGAGTTCCTCAGGGATCAGTTCTTGGACCCCTCCTCTTCTCCATATACACTACATCAATGGGTCCCATCATACAGGCACATGGCTTCTCCTACCATTGCTATGCTGATGACACACAGCTCTACTCAAACCAACCACATCTACTGCTAAAACTCCCCTTCTCCTTCTGTCCCCTCACTGATGCAGAAGTATCCAAACTTCTCCTCTCCAGCCATCCTACAACATGCCCTCTAGACCCAATCCCCTCACACCTCCTCCAAGCAATCTCTCCTACACTTTTACCAGCACTCACTCACACACATCATCAATACATCTCTCCTCACAGGCACCTTCCCCACTGCATTCAAGCATTTCACCATCCAGCTAGGTTCTTCTACAATTACCCCATCGACTTCGGTCAGAAATCTTGGTGTAATCTTTGATGACCAGCTGACTTTCAAAGACCACATTGCAAAAACTGCTCGATCTTGCAGGTTTGCATTGCACAACATCAGAAAGATCAGACCCTTCCTAAAAGAGAATGCTGCACAACTTATTGTCCAGGCCCTTGTCATTTCTAGACTGGACTACTGCAATGCTCTTCTGGCTGGACTTCCATCATGCACAGTCAAACCTTTACAAACCTTTACTTGCATATAGAACTGCCACAGGCTCAGCAGTCTCCTACTTCCACTCACTTTTGAGGAACTACATCCCCTCCAGAAATCTGAGATCTACGAGTGAGCGATGCCTCGTGGTACCATCACAGAGAGGCACAAAATCACATTCCAGAACTTTTTCGTTCATTGTTCCTGGCTGGTGGAATAAACTTCCCTCCCCTATCCAGAATGCTGAATCCCTGAATATTTTCAAGCGACACCTGAAAACTCATCTCTTTTGTCACCATTTGACTTCAGCTTAAAAAAAAACAAACTTTGCTTTCTCTTTCCTTAATCTCTCCCTGTCTAGCTTGTACTAATCTGATGCCTGAAAATTTGTATTACAAGCACTTCCTGAATTGATTTGCCTCTTAATGACGAATCGCTTATTGTATTCATTAATTGTAAGTCGCTTTGGATAAAAGTGTCTGCTAAATGAATAAATGTAAATGTAATGTAATGTCTGCAGCTTGCTAAAGATCATGTGGACAAGCCAGAGGGCTACTGGAGAAATGTTTTGTGGACAGATGAGACCAAAATATAACTTTTTGGTTTAGATGAGTTATGTTTGGAGAAAGGAAACACTGCATTCCAGCAAAAGAAACTCTGAAACATGGTGTTAGTATCATGGGTTGGCCCTGTTTTGCTAAATCTGGGCCAGGATGACTTGCCATCATTGATGGAACAATGAATTCTGAATGCAGCAAATTCTAAAGGAAAACATCAAGACATCTCTTCGAGAACTGAATCTCAAGAGAAAGCAGGTCATGGAGCAAGATAACGACCCCAAGCATACAAGTATTTTTACCAAAGAATGGTTTAATAAGAACAAAGTTAATGTTTTTGAATGGTCAAGTCAAAGTCCAGACCTCAATCCAACTGAAATGTTGTGTAAGGACCTGAAACAAGCAGTTCATATGAGGAAACCCACCAACATCACAGAGTTGAAGTGGTTCTGTACTGAGGGGCTAAAACTCCTGCAAGATGCTGTGCAGGGCTGCGTTTCTCAAATGCATCGTAAGCCTAAGTAGATCGTAAAAACGATCGTACGACTGATCTTAGTATAACGGTCTGTTTCCCAAAAGCATCGTAACTTAAGTAGCACTTGAAAATCATCGCAGATCTACGAGTGCTCTGGAATAATCTTAAAGCCCGAAGTGCATCATAAGAAGAGTTATGAGGTCACCTGCTTTAACTTTATTCAAGTGCATATAAGGTTTTGATTGTACTTCTCTTTATTACTCTTTTATTGTTTAAATGAATTTAAAAAAATGAAATAATTAAAAAGAAAAGGAAAGAAAATGAAAAAATATACATAAAAATATACATAAATATGTATACATAGAACAGTGCTGATAAAACATGTCTGCAATAAACTTTTTTGTCTGTACCTGTAGAAATGTATTGGCTAGATCAAGTACAAATAGTTGTGCTACTATCACCCTTAATATATACACTTTATATATTAATAATATCTAAACTTACAAGTTTATGTTTGAAAATAACCATCAACCATTAGTCATTCACTTCAGAAACACTTGGAAGAACTCATAAGAATTCTTATGATATTTCATAGGGTCTTAGGCCTTGGGTGGTTCAACAAACACATGGTCATCAAAAACTTTGAATCAACATGTTTTTCTTGATTTGAGTCAATGAGCTGCTGTTGAAAATTACTGGCCTCTTTAAGACATTGTCTAATGTCTTTCAAGACATATCTCCAGATGCACTGACTACAACCACAGACATTCTCAAACTGCTGAGGTGTTGTGGCTGCGGTCTGGACAACTGAAGATGGAGGCTGAGGCCTGTGAGGGTTGTTTGGAGGACTAGGAGATGGTTGGTGCTGGGAGATGGCAGGTGAAACTGATAGCTCCTCTGAGCATGAAGGACCTGACTCAGGCTCAGGTTGAGGCATCCCTACTCCTCCATGGAGGTCAATACCACCATACATGCCATCTGAAGTATTGACAAGGCCTTTTGTTCCTCTGCTGTGAGAAGAAGGGGAGAGTCATTGGTCCAACCACCTGTTTTTTTTTTATTGCCATCCTCTGCAGTGCCCTTCCCTTTTTCCAGGCTTGCGGAGTCCTGCCACTTCTTGCAGACCTCCTTCCCTGATCTCTTAACACCCCTGGTTGCAGTTAATTTTGTAGCAAAGTCCTCCCATGTTTTGTTTTTCCTTATTTGTGTGGTGTTCTTTAAATCTGCTGAAAATTACATCTTTGTTTCGCTCTACCTCCTCCATAAGAACATTAATTTCATATTTTTTAAAGGAATTTTATTTCTAATCCACATCAGGTGACGACTATTCGGTTCAAGGATACGATTCTATAAGGTAATATTTTAGCACTTGACAAACGGACAGCGACTCTTAAGTAGCACGTAGAACGCGTTCTCGCGCGTTCATGTTAAGCGCATTTTTGGGAAACGCACGTGGAATTGCGGCGAGCGTTCGTAACCTTGCAAGTAGAGAGTGCTCTTTAGAGCTAAGGTCCATCGTTATTGAGAAACCCAGCCCAGGACTGATCAGCAGTTACACGAAACTTTACCTGCAGTAATAGCTGCAAAATGGAGTCACACCAGATACTGAAAGCACAGATATGTAATAATGGATTGTTTTTCTCAATAAATAAATGACAAAGAAAATATTTGTATCTCCTATTTATGTAGAAATATAGAAAATTCTAAAGGCTTCACAAACTTTCAAGCAGCACATTTGTAGTCACATCACCAATTTTGTTTAAGGATGCCTAGAATCAAGGGGTGGCTCAACTTCCCCAGAGGCTATATATACTGTATATAACGATTGAACGAACTTAATGTAAACATTTCTAAATAGTTTCTGTTACATTTACTTAACCACAAAATCCCTTTTGAGCCAAAGCAAGAATACAAACAAGTCGAACTGACTAAAAGATGAAATGTTTAAAGATAAAAACATACCTGAGAAACATTCTCTATTCCCTCGGCAAAATCATTAAGATCATCGGCGGATTGAGTCTTTATTCTCAGAGTCTCTGTCCTGCACATTAATGATGCCAACCTCTGTACCGGGTAATGCATTTTCAGGAATCGGGCTATTCAGTGACTTAATTACTATACTTGGGGAATTATCATTGATGTCAGATATCTCAATAACAACAGTTGCATGAGATACAATTCCCAGTCCATCTGTGGCTTGAATTGGAAGCTCAAAGGATGACTCGTCCTCATAGTCAAGAGACCCTATTAATGTAATTCTGCCATTACTTGGGTCGAGTGAAAAAAACATCAAGTCACTTTCTGAAATATGGCCAAATTCATAAGTCACTTCTCCATTTTGTCCCTCGTCAGCATCAGTAGCGCTCACTGTCACCACTACAGTATCTAGAGGAGAATTTTCAGGCAGACTGACTTTATAGACGGCCTGACTAAAGACTGGAGCATTATCATTAGCATCCAGCACAGTGACGTGTATGGCTACAGTACCTAATCTCGGTGGAGTCCCGCCGTCTACCGCAGTGAGAATTAAAGTCACTTCCTGTTGTTGTTCACGATCTAATTCTTTATTAAGTACTAGCTCGCCATACATCTTCCCTGTTGCTTTTGCAGCAACAGCCAATTCAAAATATTTATTCTGCCCTAAATTATACGTTTGAACCGAATTCGTCCCTATGTCTGCATCGTGAGCCTCCTCGAGCAAAAAACGAGCACCTTTTACAGCCGACTCTGTGATCTCAAATTTTATTATATCTTTTTTAAAGACAGGGGTATTGTCATTTACATCTTGAACGTTTATGTTAATGCGATGAGATTCAAGAGGATTTTCCAAAACCAGCTCCTGTTTTATAACACACAAAGCTTTCTTTCCACAAAGTCCCTCTCTGTCTATTCGCTCCGCTACAGTCAGTTCTCCAGTATTCAGATTAATGTCGCAGTATCGTTTTCTGTTACCTTCAATATCAATGCGAGCCTTACGAAATGACAGTGTGTTCACATCGAGCCCGAGATCCTTCGCTATATTTCCAATCACAGATCCGCGTTTCATCTCCTCCGGAACAGAATATCTCACGTCTCCATAAGCGGTGTGCAACACAATGGAGGAGAAGAGAAAAGCCCGCAGACTAAAATAAACCAATAACGTCCACTTGTTATTCATTTTCGCTTGAGAATGATGAATATGTTTGGTTAAATATATCCTGTCCCATAAAATACTCCGAAGTTTCAGCACATAGGCCTACTTAAGCGAATGCTCCCGAACATGTATATGGCGTCAATAATAAGCGGCAGTACAAAGGGGAATAGCAATATTTCAGGGTGGAGAAATAACAACCACTTTACATTGCAGGTGCACAGCGACACCGTGAGGAAAAAAATCTGACATTTGTATTTTATGCTACAATACATGCACAATACTGAAATTGTATTTAATACTTTGTAACATTATGCCTTTAAAATAGCCTAACTGATTTTTCCCCCACAGCACATTTTGATATTTTACCTTTTCAGAGAGAAAATAGTTATCTAAAATATTTCCCTCAATGTTCTATCGAGAAATACAATACCACCTCAAAATGATAGACATACTGAAACGAAGCGTCACATTTCAGGAGAGAACAATCGGCTTAAATGTACTAAATGACATGGGAGAACCAATTCTCTCTCACATTTTCCTAGTCAGAAGCACTAGCTACAGTCAATACAATGACATCATAATAGAAAACAGCTACAGAGAGACAAGTAAAACAAACAAACACTTAACGTGGCTTAATGTACTGACAGTTGCACCGAGAGCCTAATTTAGTCTGGAACCTAACTGACAATAAAAAAACATCTACAAGCTAACTGATGAGCCAAGACTCTTAAGTTCAACACGATAAAAGTTGTATCTATTCTTTTCTCTATCAGAAAATGCTAATACAATTAAATACAAGCAAAATGGGGTGTGGAAAAAAAATATATATTGGCTGTTTATTCTCCGCAGCCTTTATTTTAAACATTTCACTGAACCACAAATAACAATTTTTATAAACCATGTGCCACAATTATTGGCACCCCTTGAAATGTTTATCAGTAACAGAAGTATATTGCTATTAAAGTTGTATTTTTTCTGACTTGCCGCAGTGATTAATGATGAGGTGCACAAAACAGGACATTACTGTGAGAAAATAAAGGTTGAAGATGCCCATTTCTACTATCAAGTCCGTAAATAAAAGCCAATTAATAAATTAGGTCAATAAATAAATTACATAATCTGGACACTAAACATATACGGAAAAAAATTAAATATTGAATTATAACAATACATTTATTCTTTAAATTATTTCCTTTAAACGGTAAGGTTAGATTATTGTAAATATTTTGAATGAAAGAAAAAGATATTGAACAGCAAAAACACTTCACCAATATTTAACAGCTTAATTTAACTATGAAAACAGAAAAAATAAGCAAATACAGATTAAGCACAGAACCAAAAGTAATCATTTAAAGACAAGCAGCCCCCCCCCTCCCGATATCTACTATATTATTTTTGTCTTGATTAATTTGTATTTAACAGTATCACTGCATGTCTTTTACCTGTCTATAGGGAAACACCTGAATATTTGAAAAATAAAAATAAATAATAATAATAATAATAATAATAATAAAAACAGCAATCAGCTTTATAATGCACAATCATTACTTAAAGTGTACCTGGGAAGTTTCAACTTTATTGCCAAGGTCATCCAGTATATTCTCAACAGACTGAGTCTTTTTCAGAGTCAGGTCAGCAGTCAGCGTGCCCTCATTATAAGATCTGACGAACTTGAAGTCACTAGTGCGCGAGCCCGTGGTCAGGTATGCGTCATAATTGTAAGTGCTGCGGAGAGTTCCCGCGCCCTCCATTGCACATGAGCTCTGTAATTCTGCTCCTGAAATACAGGTGGATTGTCATTCACGTCGGCTACAGTCAGGTGAATATTCTTAGTGGAAGATAAAGGCGGAGAGCCCTCATCAGTAGCAATAATTGTAAAATTAAATTCAGAGAGCAGCTCGCGGTCTAATTCACCTGTGGTCACCAGAGAATAGTAATTTTTGATTGAAGGTACGAGTTTAAATGGGACGTTTTGCTGAATGGAGCAGCGCACCTGTCCGTTATTCTCAGAGTCTCTGTCCTGCACATTAATGAGGCCAACCTCTGTACCGGTTAACGCATTCTCGGGAATGGGGATATTCAAAGATTTATTAATGATAACCGGTGCATTGTCATTAACATCTGTAATTTCTATTATTACCAATGAGTACGAGGTTAAACCTGCAGAATCTTTTGCTAAAACACGCAACTCATACACCTATTTCTCCTCATAATCCGTTGATCCAATAACAGTTATATCTCCAGTGTTGCGATTCAGTAAGAATGAGGTCTTATCTTCTTCCGAAACATGACCAAATGCATACGAGACCTTTCCATTTTGTCCCTCGTCAGCATCAGTAGCGCTCACTGTTACCACTAAAGTATCTAGAGGAGAATTTTCAGGCAGACTGACTTTATAGACGGCCTGACTAAAGACTGGAGCATTATCATTAGCATCCAGCACAGTGACGTGTATGGCTACAGTACCTGATCTCGGTGGAGTGCCGCCGTCTACCGCAGTGAGAATTAATGTCACCTCTTTCTGCTGCTCACGGTCTAACTCTTTATTTAATACCAGTTCACAGTATTTCCCTGCTAAATCGTTTGATTTAACATATAAAACGAAATTTTCATTGCTTTCCAAAGTATAAGACATAACTGCATTGTTTCCTATATCCGGATCGTGCGCTTCCCCTAGCAAAAACCGTTCTCCTTTGTCCGCTGATTCCCTGATTTCCATTCTGATAACATCCTCGTCAAAATGTGGAGAGTTATCATTTATGTCATCAATGTGTAAACTAATTCGATGCAATTCTAAAGGATTCTCAAGCATAAGTTCTTGTTTCAGAACGCATGATGCTTTCTTTCCGCAAAGTCCCTCTCTGTCAATTCTCTCCGCTACGGTCAGTTCTCCAGCATTCAGATTAATGTCACAGTATCGTTTTCTGTTACCTTCAGTATCAATTCGAGCCTTACGAGATGACAGTCTGTTCACATCGAGCCCGAGATCCTTTGCTATATTTCCAATCACAGATCCGCGTTTCATCTCCTCCAGGAAAGAATAGCTCACGTCTCCATAAGCGGTGTGCGCCATCATGACATAAAAGCAGAGCGAAAGCTCTATAACAAATCCTGCGTTTCTCTTCATTCTCAAACAGTCTCATCCAGCGTGAAAAAAAGTGAAATAGTGCAGACCAAAAAGGTGCCAAAATCAGTGGGAAACCTCGAATTAGCAAACAAATAAAATATACAATGTCGACTGCTCTCTCTTCTCTGCAACAAACAGCCTTTTATAAATGAGAAAGTGGGTGGGAGAATAATATTTGTCTTTGCTACAAAGGTATACAGCGACACCATGAGGCTGTAGGGAAGACTGGCTGTATATTCTGTTAAACCACTTCCTCTATAAATACATGGTCTGCTGTTTACAGAAAATATAGGAAGCAATATGTATCGTACACTCTAAAAAAATGCTCGGTTAAATACAACCCAGCGCTGGGTAAAAATTGACAAACCCAGCTATTGGGCTGCTTTGACCCAGTGGTTGGGTTACTACCCAGAAGGTTTGGTTAAAAAATTTAACCCAACCGCTAGGTCAAAACAACCCAGTTGCTGGGTTTGTCCATATTTCCCCCAGCACTGGGTTGCATTTAACCCAGCATTTTTTACAGTGTATATATATCGAGAGCTACTATATGCAGTAATGCGGTAAGCAAGTACAGTACTTCAGCACCATGAACAGCAATACTAATGAATTTGAAATAAGTTATTACAGAGAGGCATTAAAGTTCCAGGAGAACTAAATATTTTAATATTGCTTGAAATTCCATCACAGTGTATGGATAAACTTAAATCCCTAATGGCAAACTCACATACAAACAAAATGCATCATGAAAGGGAACAAAAGGCTACATTATACTTCTGTGCAAAACACCACTAATTTACTTTTATGGCTACATATCTGAACATGAAAACACGAGTCTGACAAGCACACATACTGGTTAAAAGAGAACCTATCACGTTATGGAAAAAAACAACAACAAAAAAACGAAGAACTAAAAACAGCAGCAACAAAGCAACATTAGGGTCAAGTGATTTAAATGTCTAAATAAAACAACTTAATAGACAAACATGAGATTCCAGCAACCCATTGTAAAAACTAATGGCAGTAATAATGTAAATAACTCTGTATAATAACAAGTGTGATATTTTTATAAAATTTCATAACACTGGAGTAGATGGTTGAATCATACCTGGTCCAAACATTAAAAACAACAGCAAACCCCTTAAATGAAGAGCAATATCCTAGTGCAGTTTTGACTGTAAGGCACCAAAAACTTAGAACAAATGGTGATTTAATGTTTACATTTCATCTTTGATGTCCATGTGGCAGGCAGGGCCCTTTATCATTCCTGTATATGTCTGGTGTAGAAGAATCTGACTGTAGTAGAACTTGACAATGACATCTAATGAAAGGTCTTCCCAGAAGAGCTGGCATAGCAGCAAAGGGAAGGAATAATGCTTTCAAAAATAAACTTTCAGCAAGACACAAAAGCATTACTGAGGTCAGGCACTGATGTTTGGTGATGGGTCCAGATACACTGTTACAAAAGGTGTTCAATAGGGTTTCAGGTTTGAACTTTGTGAAGGTCAGGCAAGTTCTTCCCCACCAGAGTCTGTAATGTCATTCTATGGTGAACTAAGATTTGTTTTCACTGTAATTACTATAGAATCACTTAATCTGTTAATCAGAAGGATTTTTTTCCATCACGTTAGACAGATGTATACATATGGTTGATTACTCAATTTGACTAATTTGACCTCATGGAATCTTGGAAATGTAACTCTTCAATCTATAAAAACATTTATCACATGCCCTAAAAGATTTTATGGGAACAAAAAAAAAAAAATTTAAATGGATATAGTATGATGATCAATTAAAATAAATAACCCTTCTCTATAAATAACAAAATGCAACTCTGCTGCCCTGGCATAAATGTGCACTGCTGTGCCTGTGATTTCTAATTGCTCTGATAACCGAAATTATATAATTAATTACTGAAACGATTGTTAATTACAAATTGCGAATCTGAATACCATATTAATGGAAATAATATTTTCCAAGAAGCAGTTCTTCAGGAAAAGTACGAAGTATTTGTTCCTTATTTCCTTACAAAAGTTAAAATAAACAAGAAAAAGTTTGGGTAGACTAAAAGCATAAGAGTTAAATTCTGACAAAAACCACTAATATGCTATTCACAACACAGGGGGACTCTAAAAACAAGGGCATTTAAGCACAGACGCCCAAAGAACCATATCAAACCATTAAGGACAAAATGAAAACGCCTACCTCGGAAAAAGGAATGCTCAAACCATAAAGCCCTTCTCAGAGTCTCTGTCCTGCACATTAATGATGCCAACCTCTGTACCGGGTAACGCATTCTCAGGAACGGGGCTATTTAAAGACTTAATCACTATAATGGGGGCATTGTCATTAACATCTGTAATTTCTATGATTACTTTAGTGTCCGATGAAAGACCAGAGCCATCCTTTCCCTCAATAAGCATTTCATACCTTGATGCCATCTCAAAATCAATGGGGCCTTTAACTTTAATCTCCCCATTGTTTGGATCTAGAGAAAATAGTACGTTGGCATTTTTCGAAATTCGACTAAACTCGTATGTGACTTCTCCATTTTGTCCCTCGTCAGCATCAGTAGCGTTCACTATCACCACTACAGTATCTAGAGGAGAATTTTCAGGCAGACTGACTTTATAGACGGTCTGACTAAAGACGGGAGCATTATCATTAGCATCCAGCACAGTGACGTGTATGGCTACAGTACCTGATCTCGGTGGAGTCCCGCCGTCTACCGCAGTGAGAATTAATGTCAGTTGTTTTTGTTGCTCACGATCCAATTCTCTTTCTAACACTAACTCGATATTTTTGCCACCATCCGCCTTTGTACGTTCAGATAAAAGAAAATGGTAATTCTTTTCAATCGAATAGCTTTGTACTCCATTCTGTCCTATGTCCGCATCATGCGCCTCATTCACGCGGAACCGAGCGCCTTTACCAGATATCTCACTTATCTCAAGCTTTATTGTGTCTTTGGGAAAGGTCGGTGTGTTATCGTTGATATCCTGAATTTGTATTGTAACACGGTGTATCTCCAGTGGGTGTTCTAGAACTAATTCAAAATTAAGATCACAGGAAAGCCCCTCACTACAAATCTCCTCTCTGTCGATTCTCTCCGCTACGATCAGTTCTCCAGTATTCCGATTAACGTCGCAGTATCGTTTTCTGTTACCTTCAGTGTCAATGCGAGCCTTACGAGATGACAGTCTGTTCACATCGAGCCCGAGATCCTTTGCTATATTTCCAATCACAGATCCGCGTTTCATCGCCTCCGGGAAAGAATAGCTCACGTCTCCATAAGCGGTGTGCGCCATCAGCACGAAGAACAAAAAGGCAAACATCTGATGATTAAGCCAGAAGCTTTGAAAATCCATTTGGAAATATGCTTTAGACAAGATGCAATACAAAACGTAAATCTGAATACTACATCTACAATAATACACAAAAGACTGGAAAAAAACGTAAGCGTCGACGATTTTCCATAAAAACGATCTAGAAGCACTGATAATGACATCACCAACAGGGTGGAGACAAGAAATATGTTTTTGTCAATGATATTACAGGTGAACAGCGACTCTAAGTGTTTAAACAAGAAACTGCATATTCAGTGCTCTAGAAGGAATATGTTACGGTAGTATGACTGAACAGCAACGATCACGGTAATGACTTTACAACATCAAGAGTTTTTGACTGTTAACATTCTATTTTGGAGGATCAAGAAAACCAATTTTTAGGGTATTCCTAAAACCCACTGCTTCATAGAGAGTTACAAGGTATGAGAGGGGGAAACGCGATTCACACATTACTTGAGCAGCACCATGGACAGCAACATTAAAAATAAATCAATTTCCACACGCAAATGCACACCACAAGTTTCAAAAGTTTGTGCAATGAAGTCTATACGTAAATGAAGCTACTAAAGAAATAATTTCATATTAAGGACACGACGAAACATGTGAAAACACATGCTTTATCCTAAATATAAATAATTACAGATTTTCTCACTGATTTACTGAAAAATCAGAAAGAACCACAGAAATTAAGCGGACACTCAAATTAACATGCAAAGTTTAAATAAGTTCCACAATAGAAAAGTTTTTAAAACTCTCTAAGTGATCTGCAAATGACGTTAGTCCGTTTGAAAACAAGGCATTAATCACAAATGGAAAAAGTTTTCACCAAAAAAAATCTAGTAACATTCTACATATACATCCCTTTTATAAAGAAACATGAACCTAACCTCTATGAACGCCGCTCATTTTGGAAAAAAAAAAAAAAACTTACAGGCAAGCTAAAAAAAAATGTAAAGTCAATATATGAGAAAATTGCAAGAACAGTAAAACAACCGATAATAAAATTACAATTTTTTTCCACATCAGACCGTTAAAGGTCATTGAAAACGAGAAAACACTCAAATTATTTTCAAATGCATTAAAAAACAAAACAAATAAAGGGGCAAATTCTTCTTTCAAGACTTGCGATACGTGACATTTTTAAGAGCCTGCTGCAAATCAAAGCGGTAAACTTTGAACACAAATATACACTTCATATGGAAGCCCAGACCATTAACTAAACGATAAAACACTTTGTTTGCCCTACCTGAAACGGATCGTTCATTTCCGCATGGAGTCCTTCAAGATCATCCACTGAGGACTGAGTCTTTTTCAGAGTCAGGTCAGCAGTCAGTGTGCCCTCATTATAAGATCTGACGAACTTGAAGTCACTAGTGCGCGAGCCCGTGGTCAGGTATGCGTCATAATTGTAAGTGCTGCGGAGAGTTCCCGCGCCCTCCACCTCTGCGTAATTTGGAGGAAGATACGCGCTGGGAATGGCTACAGCTCCATCAAACAACAGTCTGGGCTTTCTCCTGCGACAAAACCTCACGGCCAGGATGATGATGATGAAGGTCAGGAAGAAAGTGGAAACGGACACCAGCGCGATGATCAAATAAAACGTCAGTTTGGAGCTGCTCTCGTCACGAGACATGTCTTTCAGTTCTGGAACTTCAGCCAAGTTATCTGATATAAGTAAATACAATGCGCACGTGACTGAGAGAGAGGGCTGTCCGTTATCTCTCACGCGGTCTAATTCACCTGTGGTCACCAGAGAATAGTAATTTTTGACTGAAGGCACGAGTTTAAATGGGACGTTTTGCTGAATGGAGCAGCGCACCTCTCCGTTATTCTCAGAGTCTCTGTCCTGCACATTAATGATGCCAACCTCTGTACCGGGTAACACATTCTCAGGAATGGATATTTTAACATATTTACTCATTATTTTTGGGGCATTATCATTGACGTCAATAACATCAATTAATACAGAACAATGACTGGCTAATCCTTGACCATCCTTGGCCTGAATTGGCAGTTCAATTGAACTCTCATCCTCATAATCAATGAGCCCTGTTAATTTAATTTCTCCAGACAACGCGTCGAGAGAAAATGTATCCATAAGGCGTTCTAATAAATGTCCAAATTCATATGTCACTTCTCCATTTTGTCCCTCGTCAGCATCAGTAGCGCTCACTGTCACCACTACAGTATCTAGAGGAGAATTTTCAGGCAGACTGACTTTATAGACGGTCTGACTAAAGACTGGAGCATTATCATTAGCATCCAGCACAGTGACGTGTATGGCTACAGTACCTGATCTCGGTGGAGTCCCGCCGTCTACCGCAGTGAGAATTAATGTTACCTCTGTCTGCTCCTCACGATCTAACTCTTTATTAAGAACTAGCTCTCCATATTTTCTTCCATTTTCACGCGTTAGTACACTAAGAAGAAAGTGTTCATTGTCTTTTATCACATATGATTGCACCGAATTCATACCAATATCCGCATCGTAGGCCTCATCTAATAAGTAACGAGATCCTTTTTCTGCAGACTCCCTTATTTCGAATTTGATCACACTTTGTTTGAATTGTGGTGAATTATCATTTATGTCCTGAATATTGAGAATAAATCGTTGCAGCTCTAAAGGATTTTCCAGCACGAGCTCCTGTTTAATAACACATGAAGCTTTCTTTCCACAAATCTGCTCTCTGTCGATTCTCTCCGCTACAGTCAGTTCTCCGGTATTTAGATTAATATCACTGAATCGTTGTCGGTTATCTCCATTATCAATTCGTGCCTCTCGACTTGATAGTTTTTCCATATCGAGCCCGAGATCCTTTGCTATATTTCCAATCACAGATGCGCGTTTCATCTCCTCCGGAAAAGAATAGCTCACGTCTCCATAAGCGGCGTGCGCCATCAGCACAACAAAGAAAAATCCAACCATTTCAGCAACAACACAAAAGGTTTAGATATCTACGTGGAAAGGAAGACAAAAGTAACCACGTGTATATGGAATTGAAACGACTGAATCTAGTTCGTGGTCGATACAAGATAATTATAGATGAGGCACCGCTCACCGTCGACGACTTCCTACAGCGAGCTGAGATGTCAGTCCTGTATATGTATATGACATCATGAACAGGGTGGAGAGAAACAGTAATATGAAGGTCAACAGTTGCACTGGTGAACAGCGACACTAAGAGTTCGATTTTGAAACTGCAAAATTTTTCATAGGTCTGATATTAAATGTTTAAACTTGGATTTAACATTTATCGTGCACATTAAATAACTTGGCCTGGCACAACCAAATATTTACGTAGAATGTGAAAAAACGAGTCCAGTTTTCTAGGGCATATATTTAATAATAATAATAATAATAATAATAATAATAATTATTATTATTATTATTATTATTATTATTAATAATAAATAAAAAATAAACACGACTATATATGCAGGCCTACATAGGGCATAAAAAGAAAAACTTCAACAGCAACAGACAACGCCCTCTACAGCATCATAAAGACAATATAGAAATATGCCATCCTATACTAAAATTTCTAATTCAATGAAGTGACGATTTAAAAAAAAAATGAATATAGAACATGAGAGGAACACAACAAACTTAATGTTTACGGACCTTTCCATATAACGTGTTTTCTAAGATCATTATTAATAGCAAACGTAAAACGTATATATTACTTATTAAATTACGTAATTTGTAATTCCATATGTTCAACTTAATCGGATTGTTGTCTGTTGTCTTAATCTCTTTTTACTAAAATTACACAAAATGAACAAGATCAATACATTCAGATCATTCTCCTGTAGTGTTCATTTGCGTTCAAGTATTGGCAAAAAAAAAGTAATATTTACAAAGAAATTCTTTGTGGCTTGTAAACAAACTGAATTAATCCTACACTTCAGTCAATAAGTTTGCATGTATTAAACATTATCTTCATGAATACATTCAGCTGAAGTTGAGGTATAACATCCTAAACTCTAAATCATAAAATCCAGTTTGCAATATTGGATCCTGCAGTAGTTTTTACAAATAGATAGCAAACATTTTATTAACACATGAGATATGTGAAATTGTGCTCCATGACTACCATCCTCTCTTTTCTCAAAATCTTTCAATGGGAGGTTCAAATCTGCTCCAGCAGATTGTGTAACATTCGCGTAAGTTGCATAATGTCAATAACAGTTAGATATTACACAGTCAGGTGTTTGACCCTCAAACCAGATGATCTATGAACAAAACAAGTGTTTATATTTGTCGTGGACAATCATTTATTAACAGTTCATTACCTGCAAGCAGCAAATTATCAGAATACACAAGTTTAATAAAACGCCTGGAATTATTTGGAGACATTGTGAAACGGAAGAGGACGTCGCCTAAATTATTAACTCAAATAAATTTCTAAAGAAGATACCATTTAAACCTTAAACCAACGCACTGAAAAGAAATCTTAATTCAAACTGCAAATATCGAACTGCAATGTCCAACCAGGTCAGTGAATTCTTTAAGTGTATGCGCCAGTATCTCAATTCCCCTGAAGGGTGGGAGATAAACAATACCACAATAAAAAAAAAAAAAAAAAAAAAAAAAAAAACAGCACAAAATAATAATGATAATAATAAAATTTAATAAAATAAATAAAATAAAATAAAAATCTCAGACAACAAAGGTAAATGCTAATGCAGTACCATGGAAAGCGACAGTTTGGAGAGAGAGAGAGAGAGAGAGAGAGAGAGAGAGAGAGAGAGAGAGACTGAGACTATCCTGTGACAGTAATATCCATCCTTTTAGTTGGATATAAATAAGAAAGATTACCGAAATCGGCATTTGAATCTCTTTATAAGCTAATTTCACAAATGCAACACATCGATAAAAGAATCGCAAAGCAATAAACAAACATACAAATAAACCACGGATTGAAATACAAACTACAGAATCGCCATGTAAACCCAAATTGATGTTAGACACAATGTTGAATGAACTTAAAGGAACACTCCACTATTTTTGAAAATAGGCTCATTTTCCAACTCCCCTAGAGTTAAACAGTTGAGTTTTACCATTTTCGAATCCATTCAGCCGATCTCCGGGTCTGGCGGTAGCACTTTTAGCTGTAGCTTAGCACAGATCATTGAATCTGATTAGACCGTTAGCATCTCGCTCAAAAATGACCAAAGAGTTTCGATATTTTTCCTATTTAAAACCTGACTCTTCTGTAGTTTCATCGTATACTAAGACCGACGGAAAATGAAAAGTTGTGATTTTCTAGGCCAGACCCGGAGATCAGCTGAATGGATTCAAAAACGGTAAAACTCAACTGTTTAACTCTAGGGGAGTTGGAAAATGAGCCTATTTTCAAAACTAGTGGAGTGCTCCTTTAACGTTGAATCAATGGAATGAGACAGATGTCGCAGTAATTTCCAAAAGACCACCACCACTAACATCTTTAAACTCTGAATCAAATAAAAAAATTATAAAACAACGAATTCCTGATAGCATGCCACATGACTGAAAATAAGCAGGGAAAATAATCAAAATTACATACACAAAAAAGGTAACTATACATTTCAAAAGTCAGACTAACCCTCAAATACGCCCTTACAAAGGAACTACATGAATTTCACGTGCAATCACAAGTTAAAATCACATGTGAAATGTGTGATACACGTTTCATGTGTTTCTTCATGTATTTCGCATGTGATTTTGTGTGCAGTGGTCTTTTTAAGACTACAGCCTGTTTCAATACAAGCAGACAGCTTACAACATAAAAATCTAACTTGTTAACCAAGGCCATTAAATTATTTATACAAAAGAGTATGAGTATGAGTATGATATATATATATATATACACACAAAACGGTCCTACCTGAAAGGAATCACTCATTTCGGCATCGAGTCCTTCAAGATCATCCACTGAGGACTGAGTCTTTTTCAGAGTCAGGTCAGCAGTCAGTGTGCCCTCATTATAAGATCTGACGAACTTGGAGTTTAAATGGGACGTTTTGCTGAATGGAGCAGCGCACCTGTCCGTTATTATCAGAGTCTCTGTCCTGCACATTAATGATGCCAACCTCTGTATCGGGTAACGCATTCTCGGGAATAGGACTGTTAAGAGAACTAACTACTATTATAGGGGTATTATCATTGGCATCAATAACGTCTATTATGACTGTACAATGACTAGCTAGCCCTTGACCATCTTTAGCTTGAATCGGTAGTTCGATTGAACTCTCCTCCTCAAAATCAATGAGTCCCTTTAATTTAATTTGTCCAGACATTGCATCAAGGGAAAATAATTGCCGGACAATTTCAGATAAATGACTAAATGCATAAGTCACTTCTCCATTTTGTCCCTCGTCAGCATCAGTAGCGCTCGCTGTCACCACTACAGTATCTAGAGGAGAATTTTCAGGCAGACTGACTTTATAGACGGTCTGACTAAAGACTGGAGCATTATCATTAGCATCCAGCACAGTGACGTGTATGGCTACAGTACCTGATCTCGGTGGAGTCCCGCCGTCTACCGCAGTGAGAATTAATGTTACCTCTTTCTGCTGCTCACGATCTAACTCTTTATTCAGCACGAGCTCGCCATATTTTCTTCCATTTGCACCCGTTACTACACGAAGAAGAAAGTTTTCATTTTCTTGCAACACGTAAGACTGCACTGAATTCATACCTATATCTGCATCGTGGACCTCATCTAATAAGTAACGAGATCCTTTTAGTGCTGACTCCCTTATTTCGAATTCAATAACACTCTCTGTGAACTGTGGTGAATAATCATTTATGTCTTCAATATTGAGAATGAAACGATGCAGTTCTAGAGGACTTTCAAGGACAAGCTGCTGATTTATTACACATGAAGCTTTCTTTCCACAAAGCCCCTCTCTGTCGATTCTCTCCGCTACGATCAGTTCTCCAGTATTCAGATTAATGTTACAGTATCGTTTTCTGTTACCTTCAGTATCAATCCGCGCTTTTCGAGATGACAGTCTGTTCACATCGAGCCCGAGATCCTTTGCTATATTTCCAATCACAGATCCGCGTTTCATCTCCTCCGGCACAGAATAGCTCACGTCTCCATAAGCGGTGTGCGCCATCAGCACGAAGAACAAAAGGCCAAACATCTCAGCAGTGAAACAGAACCTTTGGAATTCTTGAAATATTAACCAGAAATTTAAACCAGTAGTACCACGCACAAGAAAACAAGCATATAACCCAATTTAGAATAATAGACGTAGGCTAGATAGTCAATGTAGACGATTTTCTAAAAAGAGATTAGATGAAAGCCCTATATGACATCACAAGCAGGGTGGAGAGATGTGTGCTGAAGACACACTGTTTTGCAGGTGAACAGCGACACTACGAGTTAAATGATGAAACTGCATAATGTTCATATATCTGACAGGATTGTGTGTGGGTTACAGCGAAAATCGTTTAAGCGAAACAAAAGCCGACAGCAACATTCCCTGATGAGTGGGAGATAAACACCACCACAATATTTATAATATTACCAGAATGAATGAATGAATAAGCAAGCACATTGCGAGATCGTGATCTACATCACGTAAGAAAAAGACACTAAATGTCAATTGACAGTGCACAGACAGCAACAAGAAAACATGCTTTATGACATTTATAATCAGACTAAAATAACGTTTAAAAAGTTTCTGACATACGAAACTGCTTTTATAAGCCAATTTCACATAACTAAGTCATCGATGAAGAAGAATCACAAAACGGCTTTAAACCTTTTGAATATTAAAAAAAGACATCGTTCGCCTCCGCATTAAATCCTTCAAGATCATCCACGGCAGACTGAGTCTTTCTCAGAGTCAGGTTAGCAGTCAGCGTACCTTCATTGTAAGATGTGACAAAGTTGTATTGAAATTAGTCATAAGCTTATTAAAAAAGCTATTTCACGGCAGATAAAGTTCTCTTTGACAATTAGTAAACAGATAAAAGGTCAACTACTTCTACAAAATAATTTCTATTAAGGATTCATTAGCTAGAGACAAAAAATCAAATACGTATAAACAACGACTCATGAAACATGATTCATTACTTACAATTGCATCTAAAGATATATTATACATAGAAGAACTACTCCTTAGACTTAAAAATAAACTTCAAAATATTTCGGAGCCTGTTGTCAGCGAAAGTAGTCTATTAAAATACTAATTTAATCTGAAAGGTTAGAATATTAAAAATACAGCAACGGTTAATTCGACATGAAAAGAAGCACTCATGTTCGCATCGAGTCCAAAAATCACAAGACCACAAATGTAACCATTTTATAAACAAACTTATTGCATAAGAAAACTTAAATTTGTGAATAAAGCTCATTCATAAACTCTTATATTATATGTCAAAACATGAATATAACACTTTGTTGAAAATAAAATGACTAGAGGGCATAGAACCACCAAACATTCTCTGAGAATGTGAAAAGAGAAACAGCTCAACTACTATAAAATGTACTCTTTAATATGCAAGTCTCCAGCAAAACGTCAACAGCAACACACACGGCCTGTACAGCACCATGGACAGCTAATAGGTCTGCAATAGAAACATTCCCTTTTTACTAAACTCCAAGTAAACTGGGATTTAAAATTAAACACGAATTTAAAGTTGTTTATAAAATTGTTTCAGATAACAGACAACGAGAGGAATGGGAGAAAGTTAGCATTTCTAAAACCATTAGAAAGCATGTTGTCAATAAAAGCAATCTATAACCCCAAAATATTTTTAAAAAAAAATTGAAGAAAGACTTCGTTAGTCCTACCTGAAAGGAATCGTTCACTTCCGCCTCAAGTCCTTCAAGATCATCCACAGCGGACTGAGTCTTTTTCAGAGTCAGGTCAGCAGTCAGTGTGCCCTCATTATAAGATCTGACGAACTTGAAGTCACTAGTGTGCGAGCCCGTGGTCAGGTATGCGTCATAATTGTAAGTGCTGCGGAGAGTTCCCGCGCCCTCCACCTCTGCGTAATTTGGAGGAAGATACGCGCTGGGAATGGCTACAGCTCCATCAAACAACAGTCTGGGCTTTCTCCTGCGACAAAACCTCACGGCCAGGATGATGATGATGAAGGTCAGGAAGAAAGTGGAAACGGACACCAGCGCGATGATCAAATAAAACGTCAGTTTGGAGCTGCTCTCGTCACGAGACATGTCTTTCAGTTCTGGAACTTCAGCCAAGTTATCTGATATAAGTAAATACAATGCGCACGTGGCTGAGAGAGAGGGCTGTCCGTTATCTCTCACGGACACAATGAGGTTCTGTTTCATGCTGTCAGATTCAGAAATGTCCCGCTGCGTCCTGATCTCTCCGCTGTGGACACCGATAGTAAAAAGTCCCGGATCAGTCGCTTTAATAATGTGATACGAGAGCCACGAGTTCTGGCCAGAATCCGCGTCCACGCCGATCACCTTGGAGACGAGGGAGCGCGCCTGCGCAGCTTTCGGTACCATCTCGGTCCTGAAGGAGTTTCCTTCCGGAGAGGGGTATAATATCTGAGGGGAGCTGTCATTTTCATCCGTTATGAAGACAGTCACGGTCACGTTACTGCTCAGAGGAGGAGAACCGTTGTCTCTGACTAAAACCTGTCCGTTATTCTCAGAGTCTCTGTCCTGCACATTAATGATGCCAAACTCTGTACCGGGTAATGCATTCTCAGGAACGGGGCTACGCAAAGATTTCACTCGTATCCCAGGAGCATTGTCATTAACATCTGCAAGTTCTATTACAACCTTAGCATCACTAGATAAGCCAAATCCATCTTTCCCTTCAACTAGTATTTCGTAAATGGCTTCGTCCTCAAAATCAAGTGCACCTGTAACCCGAATTTCACCTGTACTTTTATTCAAGTAGAAAAGCTTTCTAGCTCTTTCAGAGATACGACTAAACTCATACGTCACTTCTCCATTTTGTCCCTCGTCAGCATCAGTAGCGCTCACTGTTACCACTAAAGTATCTAGAGGAGCATTTTCAGGCAGACTGACTTTATAGACGGCCTGACTAAAGACTGGAGCATTATCATTAGCATCCAGCACAGTGACGTGTATGGCTACAGTACCTGATCTCGGTGGAGTCCCGCCGTCTACCGCAGTGAGAATTAATGTTACCTCGTTTTGTTGCTCACGATCTAATTCCTTTTCTAGCAGTAATTCAATTTTTTTTTCTCCGTCTACATTTGAATTTATACTCAACTGAAAATTGTCATTCTTCTGTAGACTGTATCTCTGAATTGCATTCTGTCCTATATCAGCATCATGAGCCGCATTCAAACGATAGCGAGAGCCTCTAACAGCAGACTCCCTAATTTCAAATGTGACCAAATTCTTTGAGAAAACAGGCGAATTGTCATTAATATCCTGAATTTGAACTGAAACATGATGCAGCTCTAATGGATCTTCTAGCATGAATTCAAATCTTAAAACACATGAAAGCCTGTCCCCGCAAATCTCCTCTCTGTCAATTATCTCCGCTACGGTCAGTTCTCCAGTATTCAGATTAATGTCGCAATATCGTTTTCTGTTCCCTTCAGCATCAATGCGAGCCGTACGAGATGACAGTCTGTTCACATCAAACCCGAGATCCTTTGCTATATTTCCAATCACAGATCCGCGTTTCATCTCCTCCGGAAAAGAATAGCTCACGTCTCCATAAGCGGTGTGCGCCATCAGCACGAAGAACAAAAGACCAAACATCTCAGCAGTAACACGGAACCTTTGGAATTCTTAAAATATTAACCAGAATTTGAATCCCGTACTATAATAATTGCCATGTACAAGAAAACAAGTATAAAATCCTATTTATAATAACAGATGAAGATTATATCAGGCAGTAAGTCGGTGTCAACGATTTTCTATGAAAAAAAAAAGAGTAGCTGAAAGCCCTATGTATGACATCACAAGCAGGGAGGAGAGATGTGTACTGAAGACAAACATTGTTTTGCAGGTAAACAGCGACACTATGAGTTAAAAGAAGAAACTGCCCCCAATGTTCATATTTCTGCAGGGTTGTGTGTGGGTTATACAGTTATACAGCGAAACAACAGCCGGCAGCAACACTACCTGATGAGTGGGAGATAAACACGACCACAATATTTATAATATTCAAAAAATATATATAAAATAACGAATGACAGTGCAGCACAATGGACAAAAACTGGAAAACCTGCTTTATGACAGTTCTAATCAGAGTAAAAGAGCGTTTAAAATTTGCTGACATAAACTGCTTTTATAAGCCAATTTCACAAAGAAGACACCGATGAGAAGGACGTCAAATTGCTTAAAAACAGCAGCGTTTTGTCTCAGATTCCGTTACATACTTATGTCGCAAAAATAAAATGAGTTTGAAAGAACTATTAGACAACAGAACGAGATATATCAGATTCCTTTCTTTAAAAGATAACCAAACAGCTTTAAACATTTAGAATCTAACAAATAGCTACACAGTATTTGGCATTTATCAAGGCATATATAATTGTCCCATTGACAATTTGTAAAACAGAAAGAAGGGGCAGTCACTTAAGCATAATTTATATTAAGGATTCCTTAACTAGCAACGAAAAAAATAATAAAAAAATTAACTCGTGAACCAGGATTTATGACTTCAGATTTTTTTTTATGGTCATGTTTGAGCAATTTAAAGAGAACATATAAAACTAGCTACTTCTAAGCCTTCAAAACGAGCTTCAACATTTTTAAGAGCCTGTTGTCAGTGCAGACAGTCCATTAAAATAAACACACTAATTTAATCTGTAAGGTTAGAACATTAAAAAAGTAAGAAAAGAAACGTTAAATCGCAAAGTACCACCCATGTCAGCATCAAGTCCTTCCAAAAAAAAAAAAATTATATCACAAGATGCACAAATGTAACCATGTCATAAAGAATACAACAGCAACAAACACGGCCTGTACAGCACCATGGACAGCTAATAGAAATATGCCCTTTCTACTAACTATAGTGAACTGGGATTTAAAAAGAAATACGAAATTAAATTAGTTTATAAAATTGTTTCACAGAACAGACAACGAGATGGATGCAAGAAAGTTACCATTTCTAAAACCATTAGAAAGTATGTTGCCAATAAAAGTAACTTGCAAACCCAAAATATTAAAAAGATTAAAAAAATAAATAAAAATACTTCGTCAGTCCTACCTGAAAGGAATCGCTCATTTCCGCATCAAGTCTTTCAAGATCATCCACAGTGGACTGAGTCTTTTTCAGAGTCAGGTCAGCAGTCAGCGTGCCCTCATTATAAGATCTGACGAACTTGAAGTCACTAGTGCGCGAACCCGTGGTCAGGTATGCGTCATAATTGTAAGTGCTGCGCAGAGTTCCCGCGCCCTCCACCTCTGCGTAATTTGGAGGAAGATACGCGCTGGGAATGGCTACAGCTCCATCAAACAACAGTCTGGGCTTTCTCCTGCGACAAAACCTCACGGCCAGGATGATGATGATGAAGGTCAGGAAGAAAGTGGAAACGGACACCAGCGCGATGATCAAATAAAACGTCAGTTTGGAGCTGCTCTCGTCACGAGACATGTCTTTCAGTTCTGGAACTTCAGCCAAGTTATCTGATATAAGTAAATACAATGCGCACGTGGCTGAGAGAGAGGGCTGTCCGTTATCTCTCACGGACACAATGAGGTTCTGTTTCATGCTGTCAGATTCAGAAATGTCCCGCTGCGTCCTGATCTCTCCGCTGTGGACACCGATAGTAAAAAGTCCCGGATCTGTCGCTTTAATAATGTGATACGAGAGCCACGCGTTCTGGCCAGAATCCGCGTCCACGGCGATCACCTTGGAGACCAGGGAGCGCGCCTGCGCAGCTTTGGGTACCATCTCGGTCATGAAGGAGTTTCCTTCCGGAGAGGGGTATAATATCTGAGGGGAGCTGTCATTTTCATCCGTTATGAAGACACTCACGGTCACGTTACTGCTTAGAGGAGGAGAACCGTTGTCTCGGGCTAACACAAGCACTTTGAAACTTTTCAGCTGTTCGTAATCAAACGACCTCACGGCATGAATGACCCCGGTGTCTCCGTTAATGGATAGAAAGGAGGACACCGGTGCGCCATTGAGAGCAGAGGACAACAGAGAATAAACTACAGTGCCATTCTGTCTCCAGTCCGGGTCTGTAGCTGATACTGAACAAATAGAGGAGCCCGGTTTGTTATTTTCTTGCACATGAGCTCTGTAACTCTGCTCCTGAAATACAGGTGGATTGTCATTCACGTCAGCTACAGTCAGGTGAATATTCTTAGTGGAAGATAAAGGCGGAGAGCCCTCATCAGTAGCAGTAATTGTAATATTATAATCAGAGAGCAGCTCGCGGTCTAACTCACCTGTGGTCACAAGAGAATAGTAATTTTTGATTGAAGGTACGAGTTTAAATGGGACGTTTTGCTGAATGGAGCAGCGCACCTGTCCGTTATTCTCAGAGTCTCTGTCCTGCACATTAATGATGCCAACCTCTGTACCGGGTAACGCATTCTCAGGAACGGGACTGGTGAGAGATTTAAGTATTGTTATAGGGGCGTTATCATTGACATCAATAACATCTATTAATACGGTGGAGTAACTGGCTAACCCCTGACCATCTTTAGCTTGAATGGGAAGTTCAAATGTACTCTCTATCTCATAATCAATCAGCCCGGTTAATTTAATATCGCCAGATACTAAATCGATGAAAAATAATTGCTGGACCTTTTGAGGTAAATGACCAAACGCATATGTGACTTCTCCATTTTGCCCCTCGTCAGCATCAGTAGCGCTCACTGTCACCACTACAGTATCTAGAGGAGAATTTTCAGGCAGACTGACTTTATAGACAGTCTGACTAAAGACTGGAGCATTATCATTAGCATCCAGCACAGTGACGTGTATGGCTACAGTACCTGATCTCGGTGGAGTCCCGCCGTCTACCGCAGTGAGAATTAATGTTACCTCTGTCTGCTCCTCACGATCTAACTCTTTATTAAGAACTAGCTCTCCATATTTTCTTCCATTTTCACGCGTTAGTACACTAAGAAGAAAGTGTTCATTGTCTTTTATCACATATGATTGCACCGAATTCATACCAATATCCGCATCGTAGGCCTCATCTAATAAGTAACGAGATCCTTTTTCTGCAGACTCCCTTATTTCGAATTTGATCACACTTTGTTTGAATTGTGGTGAATTATCATTTATGTCCTGAATATTGAGAATAAATCGTTGCAGCTCTAAAGGATTTTCCAGCACGAGCTCCTGTTTAATAACACATGAAGCTTTCTTTCCACAAATCTGCTCTCTGTCGATTCTCTCCGCTACAGTCAGTTCTCCGGTATTTAGATTAATATCACTGAATCGTTGTCGGTTATCTCCATTATCAATTCGTGCCTCTCGACTTGATAGTTTTTCCATATCGAGCCCGAGATCCTTTGCTATATTTCCAATCACAGATGCGCGTTTCATCTCCTCCGGAAAAGAATAGCTCACGTCTCCATAAGCGG